TTACGATAGAAGACTTTTTAGCCTTAGCAATCTAAACAAAAGTCGTAGAATATGTTAAACTAAGAACATCGATAAAAAGAACGCCCAAATCTGACTTCGTATGAAGAAGTTATGATTTTTCTAAGATTCGGCTTAGCAGTGCACGGCCTGAAACTCGAATTTTAGTTCGAGCGGTTTTTGGCTTACGCAACGTAAATGAGAGTTGAAGATCTCATTAATAGGAAATCAACGGTAAAAAGACAGACAAAAACAGAGTCCGTATGTAGAAGTTATTAATTTTACGCAGACGTTTAACAGTATAATCTCCTTGTACTGTTAAATTTAAGATCGGTCGAGAATTAGCTGACGGTGTCAAAATGAAAGTTGTAGATCTTATTATTACCTACGCGTGGATATAAAGAACGTCAAAAACGGAGGTCGTATGTGAAAGTTACGGATTTTAGAAGTCGGAAGTGTGCTGTGCGAAAATGGGTGATGTGGCACAATCTTGGCCATTGCTTTCTCCCCAAGGCTTGCCACCAGATGGTGACATGTGGCACCAAGTTCAGCCACATTTCACCCTATAAATACCACCTCTCCCACCCTCATTTTCTTCACACCTTTCCCATTCTTTCTTCTCTTTACTCTCTCTCTCTCTAGAACCTCTCTCTAGCCCCGAAATCCCCCGAAAAGCCTAGGGAACCTCCCTAGCACGAGGCGGAAGCCCCGGAGTGCTCGAAGGCTCTGAGAAGAAGAGCTTTTCGGCTCGGGAACGCTGCTCCAAGCAAAGCCCGGTTTTCTATAAAACCCGCTGTAAGTGAGCTACGCCTACGCTATTTTTAATATAACTTTTATTTAATTATAGTAACGTTATTAGGAACTTATAATAAATACTTGGGCTATTATTATGGGTTATATAAGTATTTTTTTGACGCTTATATAATAATAATAATAATAGCTAGACTATTAATTAGTCTCGACGAATAATAAACTAAACTCTAGTGGTAATAATACTAGGTTTCGTCGAAGAAAATTCTTTTTAAGAAGCGAAGCGCTGTCTGAGTTCGGAATCACCACCTTTTCCGGTGAGTGCATAGTTACTTTCACTTACACATAGATATGAAGTATTTTATATAAATTACGTGCTATGTGTGCATATTATCTGAATACTTGCTATCTACTAGATGAACGTTGTTATACATGTTTTCAATGATTTAAACTGTATATGTATTTTATATCTACGAAAATGTTGGGGTAAAACATGGGTAGATGTAATAGGTGATGTGTGATAAAATGATGAGAGGCCTCGATGTTGTTGTTGTTGATCCAGTCATCTAGCGGAGTATAGATGACGACCACGGACTCTTCTAGACAGTCCAGTGGAACACTAGCAGGCTCGCAACCTGTAGGTGTTGTGAACGATGTGTTCACCGGTGTACTCCATCCCCCACATGGTTGCCTATTAGGACATTTATTGCTGAGGAATCCCCTTAGCAGTAGTGTCCGTCCCGATGATGATCCTTAGGCTAGGTCCCTTATGATAGGTGTTTAGGGACGTAAAGTGAGGATAACGGGAACGGGTAATCGGGTTATTGTTGATTGATGAAATTAATAAACTTATTTATTGTGGGTTGAAAACCCTATGTGCTCACCAGGCTCCCAAGCCTGACCCACTCAGTTTTATGCATTACAGGTAGTGGCGCATGAGCATAGGTGTGATGTTTTGGACGAGGGATTACGGATATAGGCCTGTAGATATGAAATAATGTAGTAAGGCTTATATTGTACTGTTTATACTTTTGATCTGTACGAACATGACATCCCGAGTCTTTTAATGAAATACATTTCTATGGAAATGCTTTTGCTAAATCTTTATCATATTATTGTTTTGGGACAAATTCCGCAACCCTTTTTATTAAAAAAAAAATAACTCTGATTTTGAAATAAAGTATAAACAAAACCGGTCTTTTCTGGCCGTGATTTTGGGGATGTCACAACTTGTATCTTTTGTTAGGGTATAATTGTATAATACTTGGATATGATGGTTGTTTCTAAAGTTGTATCTTTTGTTATGCTTAATGTTTCTTTTTGGTATTTGAATTCATACCAATTGATGTAATTACCTGGATATGATTGTTACCACTTATGAATAATTGTCAATTGTGTATAATTTCTTGCAATTACCTTTAAGGCAATTAGCCCTTTTTGGTATTTAAATTCATTACAACTGCATTATTTCTTGTACAATATAGGTACAACCAATTCTATAAGAACTTAATTAATAAGCATGTAAGTCTTACCAGTTATGTTAAACACTTAATACATCAAGATAGATAATGATTTTTGTATAATTGTCAATTCCTACTCAATAAACATCAACATAATTGTCAATTCCCACAAAATAAACATCAACATAAATTTGGGTTTTTCCAATTGATTATTAAGAAAGATGAGTGCATTGACTACAAACGATTACAACTTGTAAATTAGAATCGCCACAAAAAAATTCCAACTGAAGAGTAGTAACATCCTCAACTTCATATTCTGATCTTCAAGGTTTTGTACAAGAGAAAGGTCAGGTCTTGCATGATCATGATCAGACTTATCTTCGTCAACCCAACCAACAAAACCACAAGTTGTTCCTTGAAATTTTCAGAAACTGGTCTTCGTTGAAGATATTTCAAATTAAGGGGTTGAGTTAACCATATTACCTTGTTAGTACAAGCATAGATTCTTCATTTGGGGTTCTTCTTAGTCGTTGATATTTGTATTACAGTTGGTTTACCACAACTGCAGTTTGGTGCCATTATGTTTTCTTATCGTTGTTGTAGAGAAGAAAAAAAGAGTTGGATAAGAGATGAAGTGAAATTGATTAGACGAAAGATAAACACACCTCTAAATACAAACGTTCAAAAGGGTTTTCAAAGATAAGGACGAACATACCCTTATCTTGCTAGGAACATGATATATTTAACGGACATGAGTGGCGGAAAAAGTCATCAGGACAAGGCGGGTAATAATAAGAAACATTGAGGATGGTCTTAGTGCAAAAAAAAAAAGTTAAGGACTAAATGTACGATTTTACCTAAACCATAGGGACCATTTCAATAATTTACTCATGTATTTATGTTCGATAGCATCTCATTTATTACAAGGCGTGTTCGGTAAAACTAGCTGGTAGTGGGTAGCTTGTAACGTGTAGTAGGTAGCAGATAACTTGTAGCGTTTTGTTAAACGCTACATGAAATAACATTTGGATTTTGAGCGTTTTGTTTAAACGCTACATGTATTTATGTTCGATAACATCTCATTTATTAAAAGGCGTGTTCGACAAAACTAGCCGGTAGTGGGTAGTTTGTAGCGTGTAGCAGGTAACAGGTAGCTTGTAGCGTTGAAGTAGCATTTGGATTTTGAGTGTTTTGTTTAAACTAAACGCTAGAAGCTTATAGTGTCAAACGAAACTTTCTGTTCAAAACGGAGCGTTTTGTCAAACGCTAGAAGCTCTCAAACGCTCCGTAGTGAACACGCATTAAACACTTTGAACAGTTAGCTATTAGAATTTTTATATTTCAAAATTATTTTTTACAGAATACATATATCCATATTTTTACCAATATATCATAATTCTCCAATCAATGGCGGAGCTACATGGGGCGTTGAGGGTACTACAACATACCTAAAAAAATTATTATGTATATAAAAAAAAAAATTTATTTGTAAACATATTATATGTTATTGTACTCCAGCTAAAGAGATTATATCATGTTTTTTAATGTCTCGGTTATAACAACTACATATAATATTTATTAATAATGTTTGTACCACGTATAAATTTTTTTTGACCGTAGTATAGTACACTGATAAAACTATCGAGATTTTCCAATACTCTTGGTAGTCTAGTACACTGTTAAAACTAGGGATGAGCATAGGTGGGTACCCGCCTAATTTGATAAGAACCGGAACCGGAACCGGCGATTCTTGAAATTATGAAACCGGAACCGGTTACATCGGTTCTCAAAATTTCGAAACTGGTTCCGAAACCGGCAGTTCCAGTTCCAATACCGGGTTCCCGGTTTAGTTATTTGTTTTTGAATAATCAAGAACAAATCAACTACAACAAGAATATTAACTATGAATTTGGTTAAATATATAAGCATGCATATTAACTGAAAGCGCCTTATTTGAAAAAAGGAAATGAAGAGGCCTTAAGGGGATATGAAGCATGAAGTTCATTTATATAACAATGGTGAGGAACAGATTTTTGTTTAGAAAAAGGAAATGAAGAGGCCTTAAGGGGATATGAAGCATGAAGTTCATTTATATAACAATGGTGAGGAACAGATTTTTGTTTAGAAGCAATGTGGGATGAGAATAAGGGTGAAGTTTAATCTCCTCCCACTTTTGCCTATAAGCATTAAATCCACAACCATGCCTTCCTTAAATCTTGCATATAATTTTAATATATCTTCATCGACCTTTTAGCTTGCTTGTTAACAAATTTTGCATATAATTTTAATATATCTTCAATAACCATTACAATTAATTAGTATGACAAACGTATGTAATTTTAAAATAGAGATTAATAATGTGTTTGTATTTTCAACTTTGCTAAATATATATTTATCAATAATAATTTATTAATCATATATATATATATATATATATATATATATATATATATATATATATATATATATATATATATATATATAAACCGGTTCCGATGGATACCCGGCGGGTAGCGGTTCCAATAAAATGAGAACCGGAACCGCATAAGGCGGTTCTAAAACTTTAGGAACCGAAACCGGGACCATCTAAGGCGGTTTCGGTTCCAGAACTGGCGGTTCCGAGGCAGTTCCGGTTCCGAAAGCGGGTATCCGGTTACAATGCTCATCCCGAGTTAAAACTATCGAGATTTTCTTGCATCCCGTTGTTATTGCCATCAACGTCTTTATATTAATACAATATTTTGTTTTTCTTTCTTCCTTTAATTCTGGTAAATTTGACATTATCCAGAAGCTGCCAAGTTTTCTATCGATAAATACCCCTTTACAGGCTTACACCATTTCACCCCGTAACCTTCATTCCCTGTCTTAATCTTTCACAAAACCCCTACGCGCCTCCTAAATATTCAATTCACGTCTTTCGAAAAAAGATCTGATCATATAGACTTCATTGGAATGATATGGAGATTTGTTGCAAATTTATTAGAGCTTTGTTATGTTACTTACCAATTATTTTCACCACTCTCGGAGGAGCCATGGCCTCCCATAAGGTTTATCCAGGTTATCCTTCTAATAGTACTGTGAAAGTCAAGCAGGTTTATAGAACTTCCTACCATTTTCAACCCAAGAAACATTGGATCAATGGTAGTACTCCATCCTCTTCTTGTAATATCTGATACTTTTGTGTATTGCTTTTCTTCTGGAAAAGAAATAGATGGCATGCGCATATATATAGGCTAACCTTAAAGAATCCCGCATGATCGAAATTGGTAGTCTTCGTTCATTTATAAAATAAAAAAAAATAAAAAAAAATAAAAACAAAAAACAGTTGAAGACTACCAACAACATTGCGTTGATTATATGTTTTTATTATTAATTAATGATTTCACCAGTAATCACTATTTATTTGTTCATTTGAGCTAATATTTTTCCTTTTGCGACGTCTTTGCATGATGTGCTGCTCAAATTCAACAAACGCGCGTAGATCCGAATGGTGAGTCTTTTGAACAATTACATATATAAATCATAGAACACGATCCAATTACATATCGCATACGTTATTATAAGTTACAACCATAAATGACAAATGACAAGTCGTTTACATGTATAAGTCATATATTATATCCAACCATAAATGACAAACGACAAATGATTTATACATCGTTTTCATGTTATCTAACAGCACCAATGTATTACAAAGGATACTACCATTTCTTCTGTCAATACAATCCCAAAGGTGCAGTGTGGGGAAACATTGTATGGGCTCACTCTGTATCAACTGACATGATCAACTGGAAATGGTTAAAACCAGCACTTACACCATCAAAATGGTTTGATAAATACGGGTGTTGGTCCGGATCCGCCACAATCCTCCCAGGTGATAAACCAGTCATTTTGTACACCGGAGTGATAAAGGAAAACCCGGAACCAGGTTATCAAGTCCAAAACTACGCAATACCTACCAATTATTCCGATCCATATCTCCAAAACTGGGTCAAACCCAACATCAACAACCCGATCCTCAATCCCACTCAAGAGAACGTTTCGTCTTTCCGTGACCCTTCAACTGCTTGGTTCATCAATGGTTACTGGAAAATGTTAGTTGGTAGCAGACACAACGATCGAGGCATTGCGTATATGTACAAAAGCAAAGATTTTGTTAAGTGGACGAGGGCCAAACACCCGTTTCACGACAAACCGGGTACGGGTATGTGGGAATGTCCAGATTTTTACCCGTTATCATCTCCTGGTGTTAGAAACGGGTTGGAGACTTACACATTGGGCAAAGATCATACTAAATATGTTTTTAAGGTGAGCCTTGATGAAACAAGGTATGATTATTATACGATCGGAGAGTATGACGTGGTGAACGAACGCTATCATCCAGATAACATTACTGTTGATGGTTGGGCTGGGTTAAGATATGATTATGGAAACTTGTATGCGTCCAAAACTTTCTTCGACCCTGTCAAGAAACGAAGAATTTTGTGGGGTTGGTGTAATGAGTCGAGCACAACAGAAGAAGATATTGCAAAGGGATGGGCAGGAATTGAGGTATCAACTATATATATGGCTTCTTTCTTATCATATCTATTTTGATTTTGGTTTCTAATTAATTATGTAGTTGATTCCACGTATGGTGTGGTTGGACCCTAGTGGAAAACAATTGCTACAATGGCCAATACATGAGCTAGAAACCCTAAGAGGTCAGAAAAAGAATATAAGGAATATGAAGCTAAACAAAGGAGATTCCATGGAAATCAAAGGAATTACTGCTGCTCAGGTTTGTAAACATCGATGTAATAATAATATATGCATGTAACAACGTTAACGATGTAATACTGATATGATACAGGTCGATGTGGATGTTAGTTTTACTTTTTCAAGCCTGAGTAAAGCTGAGGCGTACGATAGAAACTGGGACAAATTTCCAAGAGAAGATGTCGCTAAAGACATATGTGGAATCAAGGGTGCAACCGCACAAGGTGGAGTTGGACCTTTTGGGATTCTAGCACTTGCTTCCAAGAATCTTGAAGAATACACTCCGGTCTTCTTTAGGGTTTTCAAGACCCATGTCAAGACATATAAAGTCCTCATGTGCTCAGATGCTACTCTGTAAGTTAAATCATATCTATCTTATTTGAACACAATGTTCATTTAACCCCTATGTGACTAAAGAGTGTAAGAGGAGTACTTGAAGCTTTATTAATTAATTAACATTGTTGGTTTTCTTCACTTTTTGATGAATACAGTTCCTCGAAGAACATGAATGAATATAAGCCATCATTTGGAGGGTTTGTGGACGTGGATTTAGCCGACAAGAGGCTTTCACTTAGGAGCTTGATCGATCATTCGGTTGTGGAAAGCTTTGGAGAGGGTGGAAAGACTGTAATCACATCTAGGGTTTATCCGAAACTAGCAGTGGCGGGTGATGCACATTTACATGTGTTTAACAATGGTACTGAGACCATAGTGGTTGAGAAACTACATGCATGGTCCATGAAAAGAGCTCTCATGAACTGATATAATTTTCATATCATTAAATCATAGAGGGTAGAAATAAATTAAAATTACAATTTTATGATGTTTTTGTTTTTTAGTTTTTTTTTAATAGAGTAATGTAACCTTGATGAAATTATCCATGGATCAGAAATTTCGAATAAAATCTATGGAATTTGATCATGATTGATTGAACAATATGTATATGTAGGAAATGCGCTTCCTAGTTCAAAATATCTTGTTTGCTTTTGAAGTTTGAACAATTGAAAGTTGTTTAAAAACGTGAAGTTTAAACCCGACTCGAGCTGTCCATTCTTGAAGACGTGGCCAGTAAAAAATCGTTCCTTCTCTTTCCCTTCATCATTAGAGCATCCATAATGGGAGTAAAATAAAAGTTGAATGAATTATATTTCAATATAACATGGAAAAGAGAGAGTATCAAGTTCAATGTTCATTGAATGGTTGAATGGATTTCTAATACAAATTTATTGATCTTTTAAGAATTGACTTGAAAATATAAATTTTCTCTTAGCAACCTATTCAACTCTCCATGAGTTGAATGAAGTGTGGATGCTCTTTTAGGTATACTCCACTAGGTTTTATGTGAGCTTCACATCATCACTACATCCTTTCTGTAAAGAGTTTATTTTTGGGTTGGATAAAAAGGTATCCAATTTTATCTTATAGATATCATAATTAAATTTTAAAATATTTTTATTAAATGAAATTGTATTTTTTCTGGAAAAGCTTATTATTAGTTAATTATATGTTAACATTTTATAAATAGATTAATCAGGTGTCTAGGGAGTGTGTTATTAGCATCACACATATTTTTATATACACAACCAACCAAGTCAATGCTAAAACACCATTTCCTAGAGGGAGTAATTCTATGGTGACATGAGCAGCTATATGCTGGTTTATAATAATAATAATTATAACAATAATAATAATAATAATAAACCTCTCTCTCTTTCTCTCTCCAAGTTACTAGCAAGTCAGTCGTGAACACTATTTCCTATTATTGGTGCCTTGGTGGAGTGGTGTTGGTAATGATATGACCATCTTTGACGCTTCTTGTTAGACCGGACGGAGCCGGTGGGGGAAGGAGGGGCAGGGGGTTTCCCATTCCAATGAACACCGCACTAGGGGTACGGGAAGCGATGTGCGGGAACCAAGGGGAAGACTTGCCGCATTCTCACTCCACCAGTGATTGGTTGTAGAATTTTTTTTATGGTTCTAACGGTTATATATATATATATATATATATATATATATATATATATATATATATATATATATATATATATATATATATATATATATATATATATATATATATATTCTATTTCCCCACTATAAATACGACAACATCCAACATTTTTTTAACCCATACATTCTTAATCTCTCCAAAAATATTAATCAGAATGTCATCATCTTCATCACCCAACTCGACGGTTCTAACGGCTATGTTTATCAGTACTGTCATGGCGAAAACGGTTGCATACTTTTAAAACCGACAAGACGAAACATCACGTGCACGATTAAACTAAGAAACATGTCATTGCATAGAAATCGTGAAGTCGGACACGATCGTCTTATAGAAGACTACTTTGCAGATGACGTCATCTATGCTGTAAAGCCGGACATGATCATCTTATAGAAGACTACTTTGGATTCAACTAAAAAGTCAATTGCAATAATACCTTCTTAAGCCAAGAGCTAAAGAACTTCTTCCATTAACATGCTTGAGTTTTGAAAATACTTTGTGTTTTCATTTCAGCAGTAGCATTTGAATCGGTTTTAGTCTCGTTGGAAGAATTTTGAAATAAATATCAAAGTTCCAGGATGCTTGAAATGGTTGAACTTGAAGCTTTAATTTACATTAGTAATTGGTTGTTTGGAGAAAAATGTAATATTTTATAATTTATTGTTTACTTATATTAACTAATATTTTGTATTGATTATTCATTTTTTTTGTTGACGTTTATTGAGTTTTTTTTAACACCGATTTTAGATTTTTGCTTCTATATCTTTTAAGAAGTCATAAATTTAACTTTGCATATTGTTTCTACTAACCTCATTATGAAAAAGAAAGCATCGATAGAAAGTATGTTGGAGAAACTAACAAAGGAATTTGTTTTTGGGAGAAGAAATTGAAATTCTGGTTGTCTTTTGCATTAACGTTTGGAATTTTTATTCGTATGTAATTGGATTTGGATTTTTGTGTTTGCATGAATGTTTTTAACTTTTTATTTGAATATTTTTATCACTTTATCAAATTTTTATTGGAATTTGGGTGTACTTAATAGTTTGTTTTTTTTAGAAATTTCCCTAATTAAACAAGTGTGACCCACGAATCCAATTCTAACCAACAAACACGGATCTAACCCGCAAAGCTGAATCTGACCCGTGAACACGTATAATTAAATGTGTTCGCTGGTCGTATCCCATTTATGACTGATCTGAATACAAATATTTATATGGGTCTTAGCCGGGTTGAGTTTTTATAACCCACCAACCTGAACACTATTGACAACCCTTTTTAAGTGAGTGATGTTTTCCTTAAAATTCTCTTTACCATCACCTCATAACTCCCCCACCCACTCAAAACTCTCTAAAAACACTCGTCACCACCACCTAGTATCTCCTCTCCGCCTTCATACAATAAATTTCCATTAACCTGTTTTATCTCTTTTTTGAACTTTTTAGTTTAATATATAGAAATATAATTGAGGATTATTAAATGTTTGTTAGAATAAAATAATTGGGTCTTTGCAATCGTACGAAAGATCTTGTATTGATGAGCGAAGTAATGTTGTAGCCCTCTAGCTAGGATGTTTCCTTGTTTGTTTGTTTTAATTTCTAGCTTCTTTTAGATTTTTTGCTTAATTAATCATATACTAATTCGCTTGTTGTTGAAAAAAGATGATGGGGTCTTTAAGTGTGTTTGTTTGGGAGTTGGCAGTGTTAGTATGTTTAATGTTGAATTACTTCAAAGGAGGTGTATTGGCATTCCACAAGGTTTCCAAACATTTACAACACATTAGCGCTTTTGACATCAAACAAGTTCATAGAACTGGCTACCACTTTCAACCCAAGAAGCATTGGATCAATGGTATATATACCATGGTGGTCATCTTAATTTGCTTATTACACATGTTATCTAATGCTTATTGTAGATCAAAACACACGTTTGCACATACATGCATTCATACGTGTGCTTCCATTTCTTCTTCAATGTTGCATGTTTTTACAAAATTTAGTATAATTTCATAAATTAAATAATTTTCATACATAAAAAATCTACAATCAATTTTATAATTTTGAATAAGTTCATAGGAATTCCAATTGTACCAACAAAGCAAATAGGAATATTTTTTTGTAAATCAATATCAGGTGTTGATTTTTCTCTTTGTTATGGGTTCAGTTTGTATGAACCAGCACTATGCTTTTAATTACCCTTTCGTAAAACGCAAATTGGAGTTCTTTTTTCTCATAACAAACTGATATGATTTCTACTTAATTTTGTTTTGCATGATTTGATGGTGAAATTGGTCAAACAATTGGAAGATCCTAATGGTAAGTCGTACCCTTAAGTTTTTATTTACAAAAAGTACAAAAAATACGATATCACTTAAATTTGATTTGCAATTTGGCCATATACATATTTACAGCACCAATGTTTTTCAAGGGATTCTACAATTTATTTTACCAATACAATCCAAAAGGTTCTGTGTGGGGTAACATTGCATGGGCCCATTCAATATCGGAAGACCTAATCAATTGAACCCCACTAGAACCAGCAATCGAGCCATCGAAGCCATTCGATCAGTTCGGTTGCTGGTCTGGGTCTTCCACCGTGCTTCCCGGTGACAAACCGATCATTTTATACACCGGATTAATCTCCGAGCAGCCTGAACCTGGTTATCAAGTCCAAAACTATGCAATACCTGAAAACCCTTCAGATCCATACCTAACAAAATGGATAAAACCTAACAACAATCCCATCATCAAGCCAACCCTAGAGAATGCATCCGCATTGTGTGATCCAACAACAGCTTGGATGCTTAATGGACAATGGGAAATGACGATAGGTAGTAAGCAGGGTATGGTAGGTGTGTCGTATTTGTATCAAAGCACGGATTACATTAAGTGGACTAGGGTCGATCACCCATTGCATCAGAAAGAGAACACGGGTATGTGGGAATGTGTGGATTTCTACCCGGTATCCACCAAAGGAGAGAACGGATTGGACACTAGGGTAATTGATGGTGATCATATCAAACATGTTTTTAAGGTTAGCCTTGAGATCACTAAATATGATTACTACACGATCGGAAAATACAATGCATCACAAGACATATACATCCCGGATGAAGGAATGATCGATGGTTGGGCTGGTTTAAGATACGATTGGGGGAATTTTTATGCTTCTAAGTCGTTTTTTGATCCTTCGAGGAATCGTAGGGTTATTTGGGGTTGGGCTAACGAGTCCAGTACTGAAGAAGAAAATGTCAAAAAAGGATGGGCTGGAATCCAGGTTTGTAGTTTCTTTCTTACATATGTAAAGCCTTATAATATATCTACCCTTCGCATTTGATAGTTTCGATTGAGCCTTCAAATCAAGATTTGGTGATGGTGTAGTTGATACCAAGAACTGTTTGGTTAGACCCCTCTGGAAAGCAGTTGTTAAATTGGCCTGTTGCTGAATTGGAAACCTTAAGAGATAAGAATGTGAATCTAAGCAATACGAAACTCAAACAGGGAGATAAAGTTGAAGTAAAAGGAATTACTCCTGCCCAGGTTCTCATATTTTTTGTTGTATGAATATGATTATGATTATGATTATGATTATGACTATGATTATGATTATAATATGACAATATAGGCAGACATGAATGTGGTTTTTAGTTTCCCTGGTTTGGGTAAAGCAGAGGCGTATGATACTAAATGGGATGAAATATACCCACCGGAAACTCTTGCGAAAAACATATGTCAAGTCATGGGTACAACCAAACAAGGTGGACTAGGGCCATTTGGTTTTTTAACATTGACCTCGAAGGATTTCCAAGAATACACACCGGTCTTCTTTAGGGTTTTCAACACTTCTGACACCAAGCATAAAGTTCTCATGTTTTCTGATGCTATGTCGTAATCTCTTATCACTTTTTTTTTTAATTCTCTATGTGTGATTACATTGATCCACAATGTCGTGACTAATGTTGATTACTTTTGTTTTTTGGAAAATGTAAAAGGTCAACATTGAACAATCAAGAGTACAAGCCAACGTTTGGAGGGTTTGTGGATGTGGATTTAGCCGACAACAAGATCTCACTTAGAAGCTTGATTGATCACTCGGTTGTGGAAAGCTTTGCAGCCGGGGGGTAAAACGGTCATAACATCTAGGGTTTATCCGACACTGGCAATTAACGAGAATGCACATTTGCATGTATTTAACAATGGAACGGAGATTGTCATTATTGAGAGACTCGATGCCTGGTCCATGAAGAATCCTAAAATGAACTAACTAAAGTAGTTGTTTTGATAACGGATTAGAGGAAGCTAAAATAGAAGTTGTTAATTAGGCTTTTATTGTGATATGTATTAAAGTTTTCGTAAATAATAAAAGACTAGAAGTTCATATATTCATAGTGGCTCATCATAATAATATTCGGAATAAATAAATAACTGGCGACTTAATTTAACGAGTGATTCGTCATAACTCAACTCCCCACCCTCGTAACTCCATTAATAACTTCCCTCATATATAACTCCCTAAAAACATAACTCCTCTCCCTCCTTCACACTATAAATTGACATTAATCTGTTCTACCTTTTCAACTTAATATATACAGATATCTTTAAGAATCGTTAAATATTAGAAAAAAAAAAAATGGGGTCTTTCAATGTGTTTGACTGGGGTTTGGTAGCGTTGGTATGTTTCTCGCATACGTTGAATAACTTCGAAGGAGTGATGGGGTTCCACAAGATTTTTAAAGATTTACAAAACATTAGCGCCACTGAAATCCAGGAAGCTCACAGAACTGGCTACCACTTTCAACCTAAGCAAAATTGGATCAATGGTAAAGTCAAATCATGGCGTTTTAGTTTTTTACAAGAAACAATAGAAATTGTAATTTTCTCTAATATCGTTTACTAAATATTTTTATTTTACCTTTTCAATGCATGACTTGCCGCCGAAATTGGTCAAACGATTAAAAGATCCCAATGGTAAGTTAAACTTTTACACACTTCACTTTCATCTACAAATTTACAAAAAATGATAATATGTAATTTAACTTGTGTTTTGCAATTTGGTGATATTTACAGCACCAATGTTTTACAAGGGAATATACCATTTATTCTACCAATACAATCCAAAAGGTTCTATATGGGGTAACATAGTGTGGGCCCACTCAGTATCTGAAGACCTAATCAACTGGACCCCACTAGAACCAGCAATCGAACCATCAAAGCCATTCGATCAGTTCGGTTGCTGGTCTGGGTCCGCCACCGTCCTTCCCGATGACAAACCAGTCATTTTATACACCGGAATAACCGCCGAGCAGCCCGAACCCGGATATCAAGTCCAAAACTACGCAATACCCGAAGACACTTCGGATCCATACCTAACAAAATGGATCAAACCCGATGATAATCCAATCATAAAACCAACCCAAGAGAATGCCTCAGCATTTCGTGACCCCACAACCGCTTGGATGCTCAATGGTCAATGGGAAATGACTGTAGGTAGTAAGCAGGATATGGTAGGTGTATCGTATCTATACAGAAGCCCGGATTTTATAAACTGGACCCTTGTTGATCACCCTTTGCACGAGACAGAAAATGTCGGTATGTTTGAATGTCCTGATTTCTACCCGGTATCGATTACGGGAGAGAACGGGTTGGATACTACAGTAATCGAAGGTGAAATCAAACATGTTTTTAAGGTTAGCCTTGATATGACTAGGTATGATTACTACACGATTGGAAAATATGATATCGAACAAGATATATACATCCCTGATGAAGGAATGATTGATAGTTGGGCTGGTTTAAGATACGATTGGGGGAATTTTTATGCTTCTAAGTCGTTTTTTGACCCTTCGAAGAACCGTAGGGTTATTTGGGGTTGGGCTAATGAGTCTAGTACTATAGATGAATATGTCAAGAAAGGATGGGCTGGAATCCAGGTTAATTCGTAATTTCATACATTTGTAAAACCGTAACTACCTTTGGTTTTATAGTATATATAGTTTTGAGTTTTGATTGATTTTTCGGCGATGGTGTAGTGTATTCCACGAACCGTTTGGTTAGATCCATCTGGAAAGCAATTGCTACTCTGGCCGGTTGCTGAATTGGAAACTCTAAGAGATGTGAATGTGCAACTAAGCAACGTGGAGCTCAATCAGGGCGATAAAGTTGAAGTTGAAGGAATCACTGTTGCCCAGGTTCGAAATTCAATTCTTGCAAAATACTTACAATATAGACAATCTACTTTAAATAGAAACATAACATGTAGTAGGGGGAAGTGTGGGCCCCACTTGGACTCTGGATTTGCCACTGATTATGATTATGATATATACAGGCGGATGTGGATGTGGTTTTTACGTTCCCAAGTTTGGATAAAGCAGAGGCGTATGATAATGCATGGGATGAAACATACCCACCGGAAACTCTTGCGGAAAATATATGTGGAGTCATGGGTACAACCAAACAAGGTGGGCTAGGGCCGTTTGGTCTTTTAACATTGACATCCAATGATTTTGAAGAATACACACCCGTGTTTTTTAGGGTTTTCAACACTCCTAACACCAACCGTAGAGTTCTCATGTGCTCCGATGCTATGCCGTAATCTCTCGAACTTTACTTCTTTTTCTTTTCTTTTCTTTTTTTTTTTTCTTTTAAAAACTGACATTCAGTTTCTTTTTATTTTTTGGAAAACTTAAAAGGTCAACGTTGAACGAGCAAGAGTATAGGCCATCGTTTGGGGGGTTTGTGGATTTAGATTTAGCTGACAACAAGATCTCGCTTAGGAGCTTGATTGATCATTCGGTTGTGGAAAGCTTTGCAGCAGGGGGTAAAACGGTCATAACATCTAGGGTTTATCCGACACTAGCAATTAACGAGAACGCACACTTGCATGTATTTAACAATGGAACAGAGATTGTCACCATTGAGAGACTCGATGCTTGGTCCATGAAGAATCCTATGATGAACTAAGCTAGTTGTTTCTATGGGGAATTAAAAGAAGCTAGAATAGAAGAGGTTCGTTTACAAGTTTTGGTAATCAATAAAATTTAATAATGATGTATATTCACCACGTTACAAGAGAAATAATAATAGCTGAAGATTGTAGCTTTATTCAATGGTGGTTTTAATCCAAACTACAACTTAATCCATCTATTTCTAGTTTTTTTTTAACAACATCCGTCTTTCCACAAAGAAAAACATCCAGGATATAAATAACTTATCCAAGGCATCAAACATTTCACAACAGAAATCTAGTAAGAACATAGGATAAAATTACCAAAACTTCTAACTACAGTCTACAGACAAGAAAGAACAATGGTAAACACCCAAAACAAAATTTAGATTAAATTAAATTCTTACCCAGTAATCATAGTTCCAGCCCCTTCATCCGTGAGAACCTCCAACAGCAAAGAGTGTTCCAGTCGCCCATCAATAATACTTGCTGTTTTAACACCTTGAGCCAGTGACTTTATACAGCAATTCACTTTTGGGATCATACCACCAGCAATCTTCCCATCGTCCATCATCTTCTTCACTCCTCTCACATCTATTTCCTTCACTAAACTCTCAGGATCATCTTTATTTTCAAGAATCCCAGCTACATCAGTCAACAAAAGCAACTTCTCAGCCCCCAAAGCTGCTGCCAGCTCCCCTGCCGCCGTATCAGCATTTATATTATAAGACTGGCCAGTCCCATCTGCAGCCACAGAAGCAATCACCGGAATCAGGTTGTCATTAATCAAGGGACGTAGCACTGAAGTGTCGACGCTGGAAATTTCTCCAACGAAACCTAACTGAGCAGCATTCGGAGAAGGACTAGCAGTGAAAATCCTCCCATCTGTTCCGCACAATCCAACAGCTGTCGCACCGGCTTTGTTAATCAAAGCAACCAAATTCTTATTAACCTTTCCAACTAAAACCATCGACACAATCTCCATAGTCGATTCGTCTGTCACACGTAGACCGTTGAGGAAATTAGGCTTAATGCCCAATCGATTGAGCCATTGATTGATTTCAGGTCCTCCGCCATGGACAAACACGATACGGAGTCCGATGCAGGAGAGGAGGACGAGGTCAGTGATCACGGATCTCTGAAGCGCTTCGGATTTCATCGCAGCCCCTCCATACTTCACCACCACAGTCTTCCCACGGAACTTCTGGATGAACGGCAGGGCTTCGGAGAGGATTTTGACGCGGGCATTGGCAGGGGTTGTTGATAGGGATTCTGTGAGGACAGATTGAGAGGATGATTTGAGGCATGGAGTGGATAGAATTGAGGGTTTTTGCAAGGTTTTGATGCTAGGGTTTGGGAATGCTAGGGTTTGAGTGATTGAGGGACGGGGAATAATTTTAGCTGCCAGCATTTTTTTTCGCGTCACTCGCAATGTTGCGACCAAGGGCTTTTTGGGTTCCTCCTCTTAGTACATTGACTTAATATTTGGCAATTTTTTGTTTACATACAAAAAAGAATCTTTTAATAATTTATATTCATCATATAAGATTTCATTACGTTTTTGTTCCTTGTTCTATTTAAAATTCTTGTTTTGAGCCGTGTATGATTTTTTACATCTTTTACAAAAAGAATGTTTTTATTTTATGTTTTCATAAAGCTTGTGATTTTAAATATGATATGTGGATGTAGAGTATATGTACAACTTTAGGAAGAAGTATGAAGAAACCATATATATTTGGGTAAATGAAAGCATATTGACATAATGGGTAATATGTATCTTAAGGGGTGACAAGTTAGGAGAACTAGGTACATGGAAACCAAACATCCAAACAAGAAGATAACTCATCAATGGTTATGTTTATAAAATTTATAATAAGTAAAATTGAATATATTGTGCAAATGTAAATAAATAAAAACTCATAAGAAAATAATAGGTTGTCGATGGAGTGATAATGTATAAATAACTATTTCATCTTTAAATGTATATTTGTATTTTGAGTGTTGCTAACTAACCAAGTTACAAATGAAGATCAACTAACCACTAACCAGGTAAGAGTCGCGACGTGTTGTCGTAATCAACCTAAAACCCTAATCTTGAGCCTTGATCCCTATTTAAAGGCACTAGGAGTTAGGGTTTCCTCTTTTATCATTATCCAACCACCAGATTCTCCTATTGTAACACGCTGTTCTGAAAAATATACGTTTATGGATTTCAGAGGCCAAGGCCAGGGGCGTTTTCGGTTTTTTTATGGGCTTTGAGTTATTATTCGAGAGGTTTTGGGCCGGGTGTGTCGTTAGAAGCATAAGGATGTAAAGTTTGTCGGAATCATACTTGGATCAAAGGAGTTATGACACTTTGAAGTTATTGACAAAAATGACCCCTAATGGATATAAATGGAAAGAAGGTTCGTGTATGCAAGGTGGTAGCGCGCAAGTACGCCCAACGTATAAGGGTAAAAGATCGCAGGTGCCTTCTAGCATACGCCTAGCATACAAGATGTACGCCCAGCGTACGTCCAATGTCCAGAAACCCTAATTTTAGGGCATGCCACTATATAAAGAACATATTGGTTCAAGCCCTAGCTTCTTTAGCTGTTCCTTTACCCTCAGAAAACCCTAGAACACCTCAACCCTTCATTTTGTGAAATCTTGACCTTGGGAAGCTCATCTTGGTGGTTTTAAGCTTGAAAGAGGAAATAAGAAGTTGTTAAAGAAGGACTTTGGAAGCTGCAGCTTTTAGATCTGGAATAGCCTCATCAGTTGGAACTTTTTTTAGGTATAAAGTTCATAACTTTACTTAAGGATGCATAGATCTAGTGTAGTGAAGTTTTGGAGTCATTTTGGGTCCCAAGATTGGACCTTTGTGATGAAATCTCATTTTCAAGCTTGGGGTTGCCACCCTCAAGGCTAAAAGTGTTTCATAAGCAGTAAAGTTTCGAACTTGATGGTCCATTCATGATCATGCAAGAGATCTAGCCCTCTTTATGGAAGTAGAAGGTTATTTTTTGGAGTTTGGGTTGTTTGGGCCAAGTAAAGTCACCAAGTCAATGACTTTATGGAATAAGACGTGGAAAAGGACTTGGATCTGAGTTTGTAGCCTCTGGGGTGGAGTAATAAGCGCTTAACGGAAAGGACTTAACAGGGGGAATTACGTTGAGCGTACATGCAGGTACTCCTAGCATACTCGCCATCTTGCATGTACGCTTAGCGTACGTAGACGTATGCCCCGCGTACTCTGGCAGTTTGGGCCTTGCGTCAATGGGCCTCGATTTAGGCTGTACTTTGGGCCTTTAGGCCATAGTGGGTCATCATGAGTCAGTTAATATGGGCAAAAATATGTTGTGGGCTTAAGGTAAGGCCCATTAAAGGGATTGGGCCATTAGTGGGCCACTAGTGGGCTTGAGAAGCTTACCTAGTATCAAGCCTTGTGAATCATGGTAGTGGACTTTGGATATGTATCAAGTTGGGCTAGGAGGGGTAGAATGGTCATTCTACCTTATGAAGGATTATTGTATTGGACTAAGTGATGTTTTGGTATTGATAGCTCGGAGAGCCGAAGGAGCAGCTGATCGGGAATTGTCAAATAGCAACCATAGGGATATCAGCAAGGGTTCAGTAGTGCAAGGTGAGTTTTCTATAGTAGGAACGGGTCTAATGCACCAATGCCGGTCCGTTTATGTGTGTTAGTGAATACCGGATTTAGACCCAATGCTAGGCAAGGCCCGAGGAAGGTTTATATGTATGTTTCCAAGCTACGGCTCGATGTCGGGTGGTACCCGAGGTAGTAGCATATGTGTAGTTATACTCGTTGTCTTTGTGATACTTGTATATGCCTGGTAGGGGATGAGTGTGGGCGGGGGGACCGTATCTCATCACTAGCTGAGTGTGGACGGGGTTCCATATCTCATTAGTAGCAGAATAGGCGTGAGGCCCAAGATAGAAGGGGCCTTGAGACTAGCAGTTATAGTGTAGGGATTATGTTAGCATGTTTATATGTTATTGTTGTATATAAGTAGCAGGCGGGGCCCGAAGACACGTGCGTCCTGGTAGAAACAGATCTATATACCGAGAGAGGCTCGATGTCAGGCGGGGATTGATGTAGGATTCGTCCGATGTTGAGGTGGGCCCGATGTAGTGGGCTAGGCTCGTTGTTTGCAGTATGTGATTATGTATGGTATGTGGTAGGTTAGGGAACTCACTAAGCTTCATGCTTACGATTTTCAGTTTTGGTTTCAGGTACTTCCGTTAGCGGAGGAAAGAGCATGGGATGATCCTATGACACACACCAAGAAGTTTTAGCCTAGGAGGCTTATACTCTGATAAAAGATCATGTTTTGAGATGATACTTTGATTTGATATAACAACTTTTGTTTATGAATGATATGATCTATTATTATGGTTTTTATTAATTAATTAAAAAGAAATTTGGGGGCCGTGGGGACATTACACCTATGCATGAAACTCTAGTTGCATTCCATCCATTTTTTAGATTTGTTGCCTTGTTATTGGGACTTGAAGAAGAAGTACACCATTTTGGTGTCAAGGGAAGCAAGATATATTCCTACCTTCTAGACACTTCCTTGTTCTCTTCAAGTTATCAAGTTCCTACCTTTATGGCTTTTGGTTTTTAGATCTAGGATTTTGAGCATATTTGGTCCCCTCTGTGATGATTCTATAGAGTTTAGAAAAGCTCTAAGTCTAAAGTTTATTTGAAATGGTTTTTGGACCCATTGTTGTGAAAGAATTAAATGCTAACCTTATATTTGAATAATGCATGAAGTTATTAGCATCTTGGTCTCATTTTGGATCGAGGGTTAGAGTTTGTTATGTTAGAGGCATGCATGTGGATAAAGTTTGAAACTTTATCTATGACGACCATCCTTATAAGGGTTTGGGAAAGTATAACCTTTTGTCTTAAGATATTAAATGCTTAATAAAGGATTTGCATTTACCATAACAACATTACAAAAACAAGTAGAGGTCACGACGCGAAGCTTGAAAGGTAGTTGTGCTATTTTTCACACCTAGTGGTCACGACGTAACCAAGAGTCGGGTCACAACGCGATGACCCATTAACCTTTAAATATTTTATCGGTTTAACTTTTGGTCAAACTTTGATGGATTTGGGTATTAGACCGAGGTTTGATATTTGTTTGGTATTGTGTGGTTCGTGTTGGTTGTTAGTTTGAGGAGACTCTTGTTGAGTTTGTGGTTGTCAAATTGATGTGAATTTTCTCACTATACTATGTTGTGATATTATATGTAATTCGTATGTTGTGGTTCTTGTTTACTATTAGTGTATATATGTGTAACTAGCCTATAATAGTCTAATATTATAGTAATTGGTAAGTTCTATAGGATGATAGTGTCACGATGTATAGTGAGCCTACAAGCCTAGGATGAGGATGATGTCACCACGAATAATGAGCCTAGATGTGGTGTAGATCTTTTAGGATGATGTGTCACAAACGTATAGCGATCCTACATGCCAATAGGATGATGATGTCACAAAGTATAGTGAGCCTATTGACCTATTGACCCATGTTCAAATCCTAGCACCACTCAGCCCTTGTGGCCATGGAGGTTCGCCTGCAGTGACTCCAGGGCATGAAGCAAAGCTTTATGTTTGCAGCGGGGGATTAGTCGGTGCGCGAAAGCTGGCCCGGAAACCCTCGTTAGGGAAGTTCCCTTTCCAAAAAAAAAAAAAAAAAAAAGTATAGTGAGCCTATAATCTGTATAGATCATATGTGATGATTGTGTCATAATGTATAATGAGTCTACACACCCAGTAGGAGGATGATGTCACAACGAATAATGAGCCTACCGTTGGTATGTATTGTATATGCGATGAAATATGTGGTATCTTGGGAACTCACTAAGCTTTATACTTACTCGTTGTATTTAAATGTTTTAGGTTGTTCGAGTAATAAAGGGGAGGGTTTGGTGTGACTATACAATCGCATTAATATTATGATATTTTTTTGAGACTTCCGCTAGTTTTTTATGATTTGAATCCAACTTAACATTATGATTTATGATTCTAAAACAAATGATTGTTATGCTGTGTATTTGAAGGATGTATTTTAGATGTTTTAATATTATGATTTATGATTTATGAGTAATAAAGGATGTCTTTTAAAAATGAAAATTTTGGTTTCAATGTAACTCCCATTTTTCACAAAAAAAAACATTTTTAATTGAGATAAATTACTTTTTTTATAAAAACCCCAGTCAAGAATCTCATTTGTTCAAAATACACTTTTACGAGAACTAGAGTATCACAAAAATGAAGAACACCAATATTGCTCATGAGTGTGTAAAGTTACGCCTTCACCTTCCCACGATTATCAAAAGTACCTGAAAACATTTAATCCACAATTGTAAGTCAAATCTTAGTAAGTTCCCCCATAA